GTAGTTTCAAACAAACACAGTTTTGTTCGAACAAGAGCTAAATGAGATTAACCACAACTTTGACGACACTCATTACCTGGTTGTCCAACCAGCTTCAGCTGCCAGATTGCTAGTATCCCACTGGGCTCTATGAAGAAGCTCTTGCGCTTGTTTGATACAAAGAGCAAAAACTCCCGCTGATTCGGCTGATTCGGTGTTTGTGGAACGGCGTGTTGTCAATCATGTCAACTGCTTGCTGGTGTCCACCAATGTTGTTTGTTGTACCTTCACTGAGCCCGCGGCGCTGAGGAGTCCTTCTGGAGGTTGGAGCAGGTCGTGCTCTCAGAAACTCTCCTGCGAAGCAATCAAGCAAGCGATCAAGCCACTAATATACAATAACTTCTTTATATGTAACATGGAGCCCCAGGATCCTGATCACCCCTTCATGAAAGATATTGATGCATTCTTGGAGCTTGCCCCTGAGTCATTGCACTGCTGTCAGTTTTTTTGTGGACACTACTTGCTGCATGACCTACGTTGAACAAGTGTTGGGTTGCCTAGAGCTTAGGAAGAAGCGGTTGCTTGAGGCTACACAGCTGATGTTGTATTTGCGTTACACGTTCTTCTCACATGTCACTTAGTCAAATCAATAGTTGTATTACTGGTTTAGTTTCAAATTTTGACTTTCTGCCATTCTGGATGGATTGCTGGTAGGAGAATGATCCTGCAGTTGTCGAAGCAAGGGTTTGGGCCCAAGATACAGCGAAGCCGTCAGTTTCAGAGAGTTGGAAACTACAGGTGAAAAGGCAAAAGGTGGAAGAGATAAAGCACGAGCAGGCTGTCCTTTTTCTGAATAAGGTGCCTCATTGTTTGAGTTCTGGTTGTACTTGGCTTGTTGTCTTGTTTTTTCTTACATCGACAAACACTCAGTTCAGAAAGCACTGACAGATTGCCACTCTTATCAACACGGAGAAGGACAAGGGTGAACACTTTGACCCCACCTGGACAGCTTACAAGGTGCACCAAACAACAAGCGTTTGGCATGATGAGCAATCAATCACTGAATTAACTTATTTCTTGGTGCAGGTAGCTGCCATCGCTGCAAAGGCTACACGAAGATGGGACCGATTGTGCTGAGTTGAGGTCCATAGTCCTAGCGTTGCAGTGCCAGCTTTTAATTCAAGTTGACACATCCGTGTAGGTTAACACAAATGTGTTGGTTGAATCTATTGGATGAACTGAATTGGGAAAACTGGTGTTGCGTGCACTGTAGTTTTGAACCTTTGATGCAGTTGTGCGCACCATTGCTTGTTACACATTTACGAACATTGTATTCATGAAATTTGCGGAGCATTTGGGTTCACCAGTCACTGACACTACTGTGCTGGCATCCATGTTTGATGCAGTTGATGAGCTGTCCGATGCAAGTGAGAAGGACTCTGCACATGTCACTCCTGCTAGGGTTCCTTTAAAGCAACCTGGCTCGTCGACTGTCAAGCATGTGAAACCTCTTCTGGGAAAGCGGTTGTTCACACAGACTCTGCCTTCGTCGAAGCCACTGGCATGCAAGGCGCTCCTGAGATCGGACTTGATCAGCAGGACTAGGGCCATCGTTCACAGCAAGTGCCGGTGTGCAAGGCGCTCCCAATCACGCAATTGCTTTGAACCGTTCAGATGTCCCAATCGCTTCACAGAATTGGTCAATCATCTTCGGTACTTGGCAAAGATGGACAAGATGGAAGTTGATAAGGAGGCCCTACTGTTGAAACAAGCGCATGGTTGGAACAAAAACTAAATAATGGTTCAACTCTTTTCTTGCCAGGTATGGTCAGCACTGCGGGCATCTCATGATGGATCAAAGATTGCAAGGTTGAGCTTGCTGAGTCGTCCTGTGTGTCAGAATGCCTTCAAGCGCTTACTTCGTTTGGGGTCAGCAAGGATGGTGCGTTTGATCACTTCAGTTCGCGCTGGAGATGCCTCATGCCCCATGGACATGCGATATGTTCCCAAGAAGTTTGGTCCCACCATGCACTCATCGAAACGGCAGCTTGTTCACGACTTTTTGCGTGAACTACATCAGAGCCTGGCTGAACCTATGCCAGAGGGGACTGGTGCTTCCAAACGACCCAGAAACTTCAAGAAGCGAGACGACAAGCAGATGATGCATCGAACCAACCTGATTGAGAAAGCACTGCCACCAGGATCTTTCCACGAATATTTGTCCATGCTCCGGAGACGCTACCCACAGCAAACGTTCAGCTATAAGCTCTTCACTAGCGTGCTAGCCTCAGTGCGTCTTCTTGACAATTGACTTACTTCAATCAACTGCGCAATAACATAGGTTGTGACTTGCCAGGTTTGGGAGCACAACTTTGGGGACTTGTTGAAGCTTAGGTCGGCCTCTGCACACGTCAAATGCAGCATATGCGTGCGTTACAAACTTATGGTAAGAAAGCTTGCCCGTTGTAGCGTTGCTCGCGAGAGACAAGTCAAGTTGCTTGAAATGCACAGGGAGAAGCAGTACCTGGATCGTGTCACCTACTGGCACTCCCGGAACATCGCCAGGGGCTTTTCGGGGAACGCTACACCTGAGACTGTGGTCATGATCTGTGATTCAATGGACTGCGCCAAGTACACTTGGCCCAGGGACCAGGCCCTTTACGCCAAGGAATACAACCGCTTCATTGCTCCCAAACTCACGGCGACAGCTATCATCGCACATGGACATGACGTATTTCTTGCCCTTTCATTGCCAGGTGTGCCCGCTGATAGCAGTCGGACCATCGACATAGTGGCCAGGACACTTGAGAGGTTCCGGGAGCGTGGCACTGATTTACGCAACACAGAGATACTGATCCAGGGCGACAACGGGCCCAAAGAAATTAAGAACAATGGCCTCGTCAGGTATCTGTCGCTTTTGGTGGCACACCAAAAGATTAGGAGGGCTGAGATCAGGACGTTGATGACAGGGCACACACACGAGGACATAGACAGTTTGTTCTCAAACTTGTCTTCAGTCCTCAAACAGGGTGGACAGTGTTTGCACACGCCCCATGACTATGTCCGATGTCTTCGAGACTACCTGCAACGCCCTGACGTGCGTCCAACAGAGGCCCACTCCGATGTCCAACTTGTAGACCAAGTACGTGACTGGTTGCTCAGTGATCGCATTGGTAATTTTTTGTGATGGGGGCATTATGGAGGCCTACTGTCTACTGTTGTTCCATTTGTTGATGCACTGGTGCATGCAAACGGGGGTCACATGTCTCATCAGGAAAACGTTCTTGCAGCTGCAGTGCGGCAACAACACTATTGTTGGAATTGGCGGACCCACTGCGCCACACGTTTTCAGTCTGGACAGAGTGGATGACTTGCGTGCCATGTCGTACATTAGTCACACCACCAGCAACTTTCCGTCGGGGAGACAGGTTTCTGAAGCCCTCAATGAATTTGTTCTTGACAAGTGTTCGTATTGAAGACCTCAACACCAAGTTCTGGCGCCGGCGTGGTGCCACCTTCAGTGGTCGTGATGTGGTCCTAAGGAGTACTGTAATTCAATAATGGGTGATGCATAGTTCAGTCGTGGTCGTGAACTGCAGGACAAAGCAAAACATGTCTGATGCTCATTGGCGGGGTAGCCAACTGCTTTACTTGCCAGCGTGCGTGGCTGATCTCACACGGGGACTGAGTGTTCCAGGTGACACTTACATGTCATGTTGCTGTATGAACATTTGTGAGCAAAGCTCCCCACATAAACAGAAGGGTAGTGCCACCATCGCCAGTTGCGCCATCGGATCTTTCCCAACCAGTTGCTCATCGAGATGATGTGTTCAAATATGCATCTATGATGCGTGTAGGTCTCAGCATTGAAACCTGAGTGAAATTTGGCACATTTGAGTGTTGCCAAATTCACGCAGTTGGTTGACCGAGGAAACCATCCTTACTGTATGACCAGGGCAGCAGACTGTTTGGAGAAGTGGGCGGATGGTACTTGGGAATTGCAGCCGCCCTTGAAAGTAAGCTGGCTAGGGTCCCAACTATGACATGACTTCACACACCGTTTCTTCAACACAATCCTGTGGCCTAGGTCATTGCCTGCCTTCGGGCCTGCTGTTGGCCCAGGCCCCAACACTGAGGGTCTTGACCTGGTGCAGAATTTGGAACCTGTGCCCTTCAAAGTAAACGATGTTGTCCAGGTCCAAATAGTTTGATTATTTGGCTTGTCCACACTAAGCAACGCTGACAGGTACCAGCAGAAGTGAGGTTGCTTGCTAGCAATCCCCTGGGTCGTTGTGAGATTGCCAGATTTAGATCCCTTCACGCTCGGTCCGTGATTTACAGGGCTGCTGCTCGCCTGTGGGCTGCAGGGTTGGACTGGGAGACCGCCTATGGAGTGGCCAATGATGCCTTTCAGACTGCACAAGTGGTTTGCCCGTGATCACCAAAGCCACATTCGTTGGGACATTGCTAGTAACTTTATGGGGACATGTTAGTAAAGGTTCAAGCCAACACCATCCGTATTGAATGACATGCCAAAAGTTAGTGGTACTTGGTGATCATGAAGGGTGCTTAAGTGTTTGACCTCTGATTGCACACTCTAAGATTCTAGATTGAGAGGACCATAGTCTTCTTAAACTTGACTAGTGCCAATCACTGTGATATTGTGAAGGTCTGGGACCAGCCTCTGCTGAAACATCGTTGCCCGGAGGTCAACACAGTAGATTTGGGGATGCCATGGTTGTGAGAACATAGCCATGCCCACCAGGGGAAGGAGTTTTGTGATCAGCTGGGACCCAAGCCGGCTGAAACTGGCAGGGCTTGGTAGGACCCGGATTTGTGAAGAGTCGGGACCGAACTCGTCACAAAATGATGTCAGGGGAGTTCAAGGTCGTCGCATTTCCATCTTCTACGGGGCTGAGATCGTCACAAACGGTTACCCCACCAGGTCAAGGTCGTCACAAAAAGGCACTATACAACCCCGAGGTCGTCACAATTTCCGGGATGTGAGATGTGGGATCGCCACAAACCAGCTTTGAAGTAGTCGTCACCGATTGTTTTTGGTCAGTCAGTTGATGTTGGGCGATTACTCGTGAATCCTTGTTGAGGCTCTTGCACAAACACTGCTACTACCACTGTTGCTCACTGTGTGTGTGACATCTGTTTTTTTTTGCACGCCAGGTCATTCACCATAGTACCATAGGCCCGGCCGTTGTTTATTCTTCACTCTGTGATGTCACACCATGTCTTTTGGTCTCATTTCGCTTGACTGAACTTGCACGTGTGTGTCTTGCTACAACCGCTTGTGTTACACTTAGTGTTGCTTGCTGACTTGGTGTGTGGGACCAGGCATGGCACCGAGAAAGCGTTCGAATGCGGGCTCGGGAAACGGCACCCCTGGTCCTGCAAAGCCGGCAAAGGCCAAGCGGACCTCTGAAGACCTGGAAAAGCTTAGCCAGGAAGCTGTTGCTCGAAACCCTCACGTCAAAATGATGGATGTGTGGTTGCACCTTTGAACAAAGTACACAAACAGCTGCAGCAAAGCACATGCATGATCACACAAAAACTGAAGTTGGGTTGGGTTGGGCGCATGCTACACCGTCTATTGATGTCATTGGATTTGATTGGATTGATTAGCGACGTCGCCGGCTAGTTGTTGTACAACAGTTCGTTTAACCCTGTTTGAATTGACACTTTGGTTGGTTGTTGTTGTTGGCTTCACTAGCTTGGCACTTTCTGATACATGTGTGTCACAACAAGTTCACATCTACTCTTAGCGTCTAATGGTCGTAAGTAGGTTTCACAGCTATGGTCCATGGTTGGATGCGTGTTGAGCCAAGGCAAGAGAAGGTGACCTCACATGGCAGCCTGGACAAGTACTTGCAAGAAACACTCCAGGCAAAACCAAAAATGCTTATATTGTAGAACACGACATACTACCCAGCGGTTGTTTTCACAAACGTGGCAACTAGGCTGACATGAAGGACTTCTACACCTTTGTGGAGGAAAACTTCCCGTCAGCCCCTGCGGTGTTATTTGGAAGTAATTGGATTTGGATTGAACATGAACCTCTTGAGCATAACCACCCGCGACATGTTTCTTGCTACTGCTGGTTGTGTGTTAAATGATGCAACCAAGGACATACGCAACACCACAGGATCTGAACCAAAGTGGACCTGTCTACCTAAGACCATGGCAGTTGAATTGGCATCCAGAGGCAGGCCTGCGAGGCTATTGCGATCCCGTCAGAACCTTAGTGGGGCTGCTGTGTGTGGGGACCTTGGCTACTGTCAAATCAAATTACATGTCAGTGACCATTGGTGTGGTGCGAGGATGTGGTGTCCAACCTGGTGCAAGTGGTTTGCCTCAACGGGTTTCTTCTCTTCAATCTTGCGTGTGCTTCTGAATCAACATGATTTAAGACTACTTGACTACTACTAACTACCCCCATTCAAGGATGAATGTGTCTGAGGTTCATCACAAACCCGGACGTTCCCGGGACTGAGAAGCTGGCCGTATGTCGTGACTTTCGACCTCGGGACTTTCGATGTCCACTCAAAAGCCGAGACATCACGGCTGTTGGAGATTTGGCCCCTCCTATGTGTGTGTTCAACGCCAAAGGGTGGACACGAAGCTTGGCGGCGACAGCGGTTCTACGACTGGCTTATGAGAAGAATGAGTTCATGCAGGCTGGGATCGTAATGTCCACTGCTAGTGCATTGTTGATTCCAAAGGGCGACTTGTTGATTCCAAAGCCGTGACAGGCCCTACCGTTTGATGTGGTAGAGTTCAAACCTTAGATGATAATGTTGAAAGCAAACCAGTCCTGTTAGCGTTGTCACAAACAGTTCAAGTGTTTGATGTCATTGTTTCCTAGCACACCATGCAAACAAGTCAGGTCTCTGAGAACAATCCACTGCACATGCCAGCTTGTCAAAAGCGAAGAGGAGGTTGTCAACACCAACCGCGGCACCATGACTGCATAATCTGATATAAAACATTTGATGCCAAGAAATCGGAGATGTGCGTTCAGTCCAACTATGTGTGAGGCATTACGCTCACAAGTACTGCAACACGCCGACGTCTAAATGCCCTGAACTTGTTCCACCAGTTGAAGATGTTGCAAGCCGCTGGCAAATCAGCTGATGAAAACCTGGAGGCAACAAGCATCCTGGGGCTTCGGCACTTGTCCAAACTTGTTTTGTGCTTCCTGCCAAAACAACAACTGGGACGCTTGCACTTCCACATGCCAAGTTGGCTACACCGCGGGAAGCCTAGCACAGGCGTACCAGATAGGAGAGAAGGAGACCGCGGCTGCTTTGAACCTGCTGTATCACATTCCGCCGGTGGTTTCTGACACCCTGTTCGCTTTGTCCAGGCTGCCCGAATTGAGACAACATAGCTATTACAATATAGTTGCCATTGTGTTGCTCATGATCGCTTCATTGTAATGCCATCATGATCATCATTGTAGTTGGACTATAGTTTGCTTTCTTAACATGCTGCGCTGGTAGGCAGTACTCTATGCACCGTGTGATTCAACACGATACAATTGCTTCTGGTATCCTCAACAATGACTACACTGGGGGGAACATCTCAGTATGCAGTATGGAAGGATGACCTTTGCAACACTCCCGCTTTGCTAGAGCTCCTCAGCAAACGGTTGGCCAGTGACTACGTCAATCTCAACGCCAAAATGAGGAAGGCCGTTTCTCCAAAGGACTTGGATGCTTGGTTGCGGACTGCGTGGTGTTGACTTCATGCGCTGGGAGTTTTGTTGTGGGTATGGTATGGGGGTGCTGCATACGCCCAATCTCACGCAGTCCTGGCCCAGGAGCTGCTTCAGCGTGTTTGTGCAGCCTACCACGCCTGCCTGGCTGAGTTTCGGAGGAAGGTTCCAACAGACTTCTACACCAAAGAGGTCGCCGTGATCGAGAAGGGGAACCTCGTCTGCAAGTTTAGTTGCAACTAGCTGGACAAGGGTGAGAGTTGCAAGCAGCAATCACATCACAATGTCAAACACACTGCACGCGTCAATACTACTTTTGTCAGATTCATGAGCAAGCACGCGGACGTCGACTTGCAATCACTCTTGGACTCCACAGTACCACCAATTGATATTGGAAGAGTATCCTTGTTTGATGCAGCCCTGAGAAAATTCGATAAACAGGCCCGTAGGGTGTTATTGCAGTCGCCGTTCTTGCTTTACTCTTTTGTCTTTTGTGCTATGCATCAGCAATTGGCGTGACCAGTTGAAGTAAATCTGACTGCGGAGGCTCAAACAGAGCAGGTGGCCAAGGATCAAGAGTCTCTTGTCTGACTATTTCAATTTCACTGGACTGCATTTGACTTGAATGAGCTTACAACCGTATGGGTTTGCCCTTGATTTTCACAGCATGGGATGAGGAAGACAACTGCATCGTGTCAGTTTTAAAGTATGGTGTGTAACAGTTGAGGCTTTCAGCAAAGATGGCTGCTCTCAAGTTTGAGGAAGCTCAACTCAATGTCACAAAGGATATCGACCTGATCACGAAGTGGAGTGAAAAATTTGATTCCTTTGCATCCAGACAGGCCCAATTCCAGCTTACTGTTACATGTCCCCAAAAGGAGTCCAACTCACCATGTACCCCATCGCAGTTGGCTGCCTTGCGCAGGGAAACCTCGATGTGAAGTACCTCAGCGACAGGTACCAGAAAGGGCTTGATGCCGTGGATGCCATGCTCCATGAATCGCAGCGTTTCATACATGTGGATGATTTGACTGAAGCTGCCAACGACGTGGTTTCCCACATGGCGAAGACTGGACACCAATCGTAGCTAGTCTTGTTTTCATGAAATCGTAGCTAGTATTGTCTTCATGGAAGTTCACAGCATGAACAAATAATTTGACTGACCGTGTTATTGTTGCTGGTATGCACACACACTGAGGTTGGCACTGCTGCTGATTGATGCGACAATCTGGCCGTCGAGTATCTCGTCCTCAAACAGTGCTTCATTTTTCCGGGTGCCACATACAAATTGACAATATCAATCAATACTAACTTCAGTTGTTGCGTTACTGCCAGTGGTGCTTGAGGGCCTACTATCATCGATGAAGGCATCAAGTTGGCTTCTTTTGTCACTGCTGGTAGTGATAAGTCCATGCTGCTGGTGCTGGAACCACAGTATCATGGAAGCATGGAAAAGCAAACAATCGTGAAACACCGACGGCTCCTTGAAGACAAGATCTATGCGATACTAGTTTGCACTGGTTGACCTTTCAAGTGCTGCCAAAGACTCATGTTGCTAACTGGTTTGTTTGCTCCACCAACTTCCCAGAACCATGGATTATTGGGAATTCAGCGTCAACTTTGTGGATGACAACCCTCATGGTAATGACAGGAGGCGCACATCTCAACAAGGCATCTGCTCTGAAGTTGTACGCGTGCTGTTGGCTTGTTGACAATCGTTTCACCGTTTGCACCAACGTGTTTGTTGCTTGCTCTCGGTTATTGAGTTAGTTATCGCCATGTTTCATGCCAATTGCTTGCAGCTTGTTGTTTCATGTTGAGGCCTGGTAGCAATTGCATCGAGTCAACGATCCTCTTGGTGGTTGAAAAGCAAAATTTTGCTTGGCACTCTTGGTCCTGTTCCGAGGGCCAAAGTCAATGAGCTTGTCCAAGTTGACCCTGATGCTCCTATGGCGCCCAACCACAGGGTGCCGTACCTACCAGTTGCTGTTCCCACTGTCTCTAGCTATAACTCAGGTGTGCTGTAACTCCCGTGTGATTTTGTGTTCATAACATGTCTGGACCTAGGTGCAGCAGCGTGGTGTGCAAGCAGCAGTTGCCATGTTGCAGCAAACACTGCAGGGCATCACTGTTCCAACTGGTGCAAAGGTCAATGTCTTCGACTTGACACCCAATCGCTTCGCAGAGTGGAGCCGTGCTGTTTGGGACCGCCAGTTGAGCCAACTCAAGGCTCCCGACAGTGCTGCTGTGTCCTTCACATACACAGGCTACTTCACCGACATGGATGAGGTGGAGCAACAGCGCAAAACCATGCATGGTCGCTGCATGTCGGACAGGGTTGCTATTGTGGTGTGGCACTTGTGGCGTGAGTCATGAATCACAAAATGTTCAACCACATACAAGTTTACAAGTGCCATCTAACATGGACGTCAATGCGTCAGTGTCAACATGTAGCACAAACCATAGCAATGTCAACCTCTCAAACCTACCACTACACGTTAGTGACAACATTTTGTATCAGAGGTATTTGAGTCTTGTGCAGGATTGGTGGGACAGTTCTTCAGAAGCTGGGCCGAAAACCCGACCCGCCTCAGAGTTTGGAGAAGCTCCGCCAGGCTTGAGTTCGTTGAGTACTGCGGACGGATGCCTCCAGCCACGCGTTGTTGATTAACAATGTTCTTAGTAGTAGTCTTGTGTGCCATATGTGCTGGTCATGTGAGTGGCAAAATCAACACTTCAACACCTAGCTAACCACAATAACTGTTGCATGTATGCCGCACTAAGGATTCCCGATGCGCTTAAGACTCGCTTTTGCGTTGATGCCTGTCATGCTGCGAAGTTCAAGGATTTGGAGAAGCAGGTTGCTGACGCTAACACTGCTGTTGTGTTGAGGGCTCTGAAGGGATCAGCAGCATCAGCTGCTGCGACACCTTCCACAACCTGCGCTGGTGCTCCTCCACAAGCCCCACCCCGCACCTCATGCCAACCTGCTTTCAGTGATAGCGACCAACCTGTGGATGTGAACCGTGTGGTGGATCTGGCGACCATTCCATCACAAGACTTTCACAGCGCACACACGTGGTTTGGTGAAAAATAGTCATACAACAAGTTGTGTCAACCGTTGAACTACACCGTGGTTGGGGTTTGAACATTA